GACGTGTTTTCGCTATATTTTGGATTTTGACGAGTACTCTCTGTTTGGCTCAGTTCTTTTGTTATATTGCCGAACTTAACACAGAAAGCAGGCAGAAGGATTTGGTTAAGTGGGTTCTTACCAGGAGAACGACAAATGTGGATTTAGAGGCAGCTGATCTCGAAGGGGATGGGATTGTAGGGTCAGTGATGTCCAGCTCCCTTTTCTCTTGTCTCCTATACTTTACATTCTGGTTTTTATGCTTTCAGTTGAATGGTTTTACCCTAAGAAATTCTTTTCTTATTTTGCTTTGCTATCAGGGCTGCTGAATTTGTCTTATATAAGCTAAAAGAGATGGGAAAAATTAATCAAGAAGATATTTTGCTTTTTATGGATGAGTTTGAAAACCTTGATTTTGATCAATCTGGAACTCTGTCGGGCTGTGACTTGAAGCTTGCACAGCCAGCTCAAATGTAGAGGTAAATCTGCTGATTTTGTACACTTTAATATGTAAATTTCACATGTGCCTTGTGGCTTCAGGGCGTGTTCGATTGTACTTCAAATCCAATTAAAATTGAAAATATAGTCGTTATTGGGTCTCACTCGTCTAATAAAAGTCAACAATAACGACTAGTTTTTCAATTTTAATCGATTTTAATATCTACCGAAAATGCCCTCAACAAGTTTGTTGATAAATGAATCTCCTTCGAAACTCAATGATTATTTATACTGGAATTTACTTTAAAATTTTGAGACTGCTAAAGTAGATGAACAAGAACTTGACAGAACTGTTATGTTGATCTTGCATTATTTTTCTTTTTTGAAAGGGGTTTTTTTTACGGAGGAGTCGGAAAATGGTTTTCCCAGAAGAATTATGAATGTTTGTGCTGGAAAAAATGCTTCAATTTTATTTCATTGGAGCCATATCCCATTTCCCTTGCAAGTAGAATTTCCATGTATAAACATATGTTGTGAATTGTGGTTGCCTTGTGAATGCTTTTCTAGCGGTGTAAGTTTTTATCAAAATGCTTGAGGTTCGTTTGGGAGAGGTTTTTCAAGTGAAGAAAATTATGGATTTCATATGTATAGTTGAAAATTATCTTGAGGAAAAAATCATTTTCTAAAAAACTTTCCCAAACAGTGACTAAAAATCTTTGTTTTGACTCTAAAAGCAACATTCTATTTTTCCGATTTTCTACAAAAGTACCATTAGAGCAAATGCTTCAAGCTATAGATTACAATTGTCGAAAGAATCTTATATTTTTAAAACGTTAAAATCATTTAAAACTTGTTAAAAATAAAAATGCTAATTCTTTACGTATTAAAAAGGTTGAATGGCCAACTCAAACTCATTTATACACTCGAAATAAAACAATCAAACTTATTGATGTAAGCATCTTTCGCAACTAAATAGCTACACTAAATTCCACCTATTTTAACCAATCTCGACAAAAAATAAAAAATTAACATCTTTTTGTAAGGAATTAAAAATTGTACATTATGTTTGACATTTCAAGATATGTCGAAAATAGTGTCATTGATTGTTTAAAGTGTGTTTAAAATCAATGTATAAAAAACTCTTACATCACAATAATGTCAAACTTGATGTATATGTAGCGAAACTGTTTTGTAACATGTTGAATTAAAATTGAATTTTGGAAATGAAATTCCTAAAATGCAAGTACCATTGTCACGTGCAACTCCAAAGTACGTCATAGGGCGACAAAACTTCTCGTGTCACTACGTAATAATTTAGAAAAAGGTCGATGCGTATCATACTCGAGCACTTATTGTGTGTTTCTATTTGGTATCACTCTGGTCAAGTTTTTGTGATTAATGTCTTATTTAGATTACCCAATGGGCTCAAAATTAACCCATAGGGCACGATAGCTTTTCGTATCAATTGAGCACCATATAAAAGGAACGACAGGGTTAAAAAAGACGAGACATAAAATTTAAACAAAAATAACTTTATTAACAATGTAAAAAACAAATACATGGACAAGAAAATGGAAATGGTGTTTCTTTCTTTCTTTTCTTTTTTTGGCATTTCATTTTTGTCTTGTTTGACATTTTTTTTTTTTAGATTATAGTTGGTCAAACTTTATCATTAACTTTATATATCATTGAATCCATAATTTTTATTCACTTTTTGACCACGTTTCATGAAACCAAACCTACTTATAATTCCAAAAAGCTTTATCAATGGAGCTTAGCACCTGTTTGGTGATTATTAAAATCAGATTTGTAGCAAATTTTGATAACATTTAATAAAATGTATGGTTAAAAAGTTTTTGATCTTATAAAATATGTGATTAAAATTAATTGTCTATTTTGACTTATATTTTAATTCCTACCAACCAGGAGCTTAATAAATTAAATCCATGTTTGAATCTTATATTTTGAGAAGAGATTTTATAAAAAGAATTTTTTTTGAAAAATATATGATTAAAAAGTAGATAAATATTTTAAGTTTACATATAAAATTATTTAAGAGAATGTATAGATAAAAATAAATATGAACGAAAATAAATTTTAAAAATTAAGACTCAAAAGAGACCAAGTAGAGGTGGCAATGGACTGGTTCGGCCCATATGCACACGAGTTTGGCTTGTGGCTCGTTTATAACGAGTTGAGCTTCTGCTCGGCTCATTACTCATGTGTCGAGCTGAGCTCGTGGGCCGATGTGAGCTTCGGCTCGCGAGTGATGAAGTCAAAATAATAATTCAATTTAATTTTGGGTTTGTTCATTTTTTACGAATTG